CATTTGTGGGGCATTCCTTTTTGAACAGTGCCAATTCCCTTGATGTCTACAATATCACCTTTCCTGTAGATTTGCGTGTATGTGGCCAAAGGAACAATTCCATGTTTTCTAAAAGGCCTAGAGAACATACAGTTGGTGCCTTTCCTCCTTCCCTTTGTGTTGGTCATATTGGCGAATTACTGGAACATGGCAGTTCCGGCCAAAAGGGCTATATCACAAGTTTTTAAAACTACATATTTATAATTTTTATTACTATGACTCTTGATGAGCCAAGTAGTTTACAATAATAGCGTTTCCATTTTTTACAACTTTTAAAAAAATTGCCCCATTTAAAAATATGCTTAGTTTTCATTCAAGTGAGTCTTCCCACACTCTCCAGCACCTCTTATTATAGTTTTACACAAAGTAGACTTCTTATCAGTCCATTTTTTCCTTTTTCCTGAACTAACACAGTTTGACTGCTCTGGACCTGCCACACCATTGCTAACATCAGATTCCTGGAGACCTCTTGCCTTTCTCTAATTTTGGAAGACTACATCCTCCTGTAGCTTTCTGAAAATATCTCTATTCTTTTACTTGAATAGTATTTGGCTGGGTATAAAACTAAGTCAAAATGAATTTTCCCTCAGGATTGACCCATCGTCTTCAGACTAACAACATTTCCCTTGAGAAATTTCGTGCCATTCTTATTCCCAATCCTTGCGTGCACCTGTTCTTTTTTCCCCCTTTCTGGAAGATCTTCGGATTTTCTCTTTATCATTTGTATTGTGAAATGTCACAATGAATGTTAAGTTGGTGTTTTTAATTCACTGCACTGGATACTCAAAGGGGTAGTTCAAGACTCGTCTCTTTCAATTCAGGAAAATTTTCTTTCTTCATTACTATTTAAGTAAATTCCTTTTACCAGTTTCTTCTCTCTCTCTTTTTTGACTTTTTATTGTCCAATATCAGATCTCTAATTTATCTCTTGCCTGTTCATCTTTTTGTCTTTCTGTCTTTTAAAGTCTTCTGCTTCCTTTATTATCCATTTCTTCCTGTTGGTTTGTATGGACCTCTCCTTAAATGATGTAAGCTTTTCTCAGAAATGTATGGAGACATTTGGTGGTTTATATTTTCTATAGGTCTTTATCTTTACTCTTTATTCTGAAGCAGGGGGGTGGGGAGGAGGTCTGAGGCTCATCATTCAGGAGGTCAACTTTAACTTAATTTCTCTGTCTCCCTTCCCTCATGGCATGTGAGACATATAGTACCTCTCCCTGTTGTGAGGCCCTATCCCCATTTTCTATAACGCCTCTAATTCCTGAACCTTCCTGGAGTTCTCTGGGGCAACCTTGCTTGCTTCCTGTTATAACCTCCACACCCTCACCCCTGCATTTAGGTGTCACCTTTTCTCTCTCTGTTAGAACCATCTCTCCACTCACTTTCTGTCTTCATATATTGTGATTTGGGGAACGGTTTGAGCCTCGCATGTATCTAAGTTGGAGTATGGGCTCCTATTTCTTGTTCTTGATGTTTTGCATGACTTTTGAGAGAAGCAGCAGGGAAAAAATGTCTTTACTTAGTCATCTTGAAGCTGCTTGGATTCTCAAGAGCTCTTCATGCTCTTATTTGTAGAAACCTAGTGGAGTTGGGTCATTTTCCCTAATGTGGAGACAGAATGTAGGCCCTCAGCTGAAGAATGTTGTGTGGTGATCACCCCGTATGATAGAAGACCACACCTGACTAGTGCCCTCCAGCTGCTGCTGCTCCACACCTTACAGAGACCTTGGCATCCCTTTCTGGTTTCTGTTTCCTGTCCCTGTATGCAGGTCCAGTTCCCAGCTCCAGGATACTACAGCATTTTCAGCCAAAGGTTCCTATTTTCGACAATATGTTTTATTAAGTTTGCCTCATCTGTGGGAGGCTTAGGGAATTTCCAGAAAATCACTGTTAACTGAAGCTGTGTAGTGGTGGATCGAATTAAGGGATGGGGAAAAAAAGGCTTAACAAGACAAAGCAGCTTCCATAGAAAACATTCCCACCACGTTCTCCAGCTTCTGTTCTTCACTGGCCCCAGCTAAGTCAGAGGCGGCTTTGTGGTCCCCTCCCCCTCCTCCTCTCCTAGGCTTGATGCCTTGTCAGCCGACTTTCTGAACACCACTGTTTACCCTCTGCAGCTGAAACACCCTGGTGGTGTTTCACCTGGGTGCCACTTCTGCCATCACTTAGTTTATGAATTTCATTAGCATAAATGAAGATTTAAATTTTTAATTAAGAGCTCTCGCTATAAGACAAAGGGCACAGAGGCTGTTTCTTTTTCTCTTTAAAGTGTAATTAATGATTTAAAAATTGCCAGGAGCCCTTCTGTTATACACCCCAAAGAATTTAAAGCAGAGTCTCAGAGAAATATTTGCACACCCATGTTCACAGCAGCATTGTTCACAAAAGCCAAAAGATAGAAGCAACCCAAATGTCCGTGGATAAACAAAATGTGGTATATCCAGTCAATGGAATATTATTCGGCCTTAAAAAGGTAAGAAATTCTGACAGATGGTACAACAATGTAGATGAACCTTGAGGACTTTGTGCTAAGTGAAATAAACCAGTCAGAAAGAGACAAATACTGTATGATTGCACTTATATGCGGTACGTAGAGCAGTCCAATTCATAGAGACAGAAAGTAGAATGGTGGTTGCCAGGGTTTGGAGGAGGGGAAATGAGAAGTTTCATGCGTGCCGTTTCCCTTTTGTAAGAGGAGAAGCCTTCTGGAGATTGGTTGCACAACAATGTGAATATACTTAACACTATTGAACTGTACACTTGGTAAATGTTATGCTGTTTACATTTTACCGCAATTTTTAAAAAATCACGAGGGGCTAGAGACCTTTAAAGAACCTCCCCAGAATCTGCTGACCTCCGAGTTCTTTTTCAAGACTGTTGAATCTCTAGCTCTTAGGTTCCACTCTGATGAGGTCAGTTCTCTACTCTGTAATGAACAAACCAACAAAAAAGCCAATGTGGAGGAAAGCAAGGAGATAAGAGGGAAGATGCCAAGCCTCGAAGATGAAGAAACAGGGAAAATGGTCCCATCTCTGAAGTCAGCACATCCCCCCTCAAGGAGAGGGCACCGTTGTTCTCCATTTGTAACCCACTGGGCTCATAGGCACATAGCCCTTCATGTTACAAGTGAGGAAGCTGAAACCTAAACAGGGGAGAGAGGTAGGCTCAGGGGCTGATGGGCACAGGGTCACAAAGCTGGCTGGTAGCAGAGCCTAAAGTGCAGCCCTGGTTCTGTGTTCTTTGCTTTAGACGCCCTTCTAAGAAATGTGAGCGGTGAACTTTAACCTGCTTGGTGATGATGAGCCGGGCTGTCAGCTTCAGCATTATTGCTTCTCAGTAGGTAACAGACTGGGTGACTGCCTACTGTCAGACTGAGACAACATGGCAAGCAGGTGTCTCTCAGCATTCCTCTGCTCTTCAGCCTCCCAGGTCCTCCTCAGCACTGGAATCCAACCTCATGAACTCATACTCAGAGCTCTGAGATGCAGACTGGTTCCCCTCTAGGAGTTAACAGAGAGGCCCATGCATAACTTCGAGAAATAAGTTCCAGCTGTTGGAATGTCACTCCTCATAGCCCTTCAGTGAGAGAGACATTTCAGGGTTATTGATAAGAAAAGGCAT